AACCCTAAACCCTATAATCCTTAAACTCTTACAGCTTCTGCAGACCGTTCTCACCGCCATCGCAGCGTGGGGAGCCTCGATGTGTGTCTTACAGGGGACCTGAAGGGGGTTTTGTAGGGTCCTACAACGGTTCTACACACAGTTCCTCAGGGTTCTGCATGCAGGGTTTTGTGTGGTCCTGTGTGGTATAAAGTTCGAGTTTACAGGCTTCCAAAAGTTTGAGGGCTTTGGGTTCAATGATTCTGGACCTTACTCTGTTCAGTTTCAGTATAAACCTTTGGCGCTTGTTGCCTGACAGCTTAAGATTCAATGTAGAATCCTGAATAGTTACCAATACTATTCTTACCCTAAACCCTCTTCTAAATAGTACCCCGGGGCAGTGAAGCCCTGTCAAAGGCTTCGTTTGGAGTTGCATCTTTGTAGGATCTTTACTATTCTCTTCCCGCGCGCTTCTTGAAGCTCTAGGTGGTGATTCGGAGTCGCATCTTCATCATATCGCAGACGGAGAACCTAAAAATCCCTAGATGCAGAGCCCGAAGCATCAAAGTCTAAACGGAACTAATATCTGAACCCCTAAACTCTAAACCCTAAATAAGCCCTGATCACCGAATGCCTCGATGCCGAAAATCTCGCGAAACCACAGTCCCTACATTTTAAGCCCTCACGAAGAATCCTGCTCTGAGTCAAACCCCAATCCCTAAACCCCAAAATCCTGACAATGTAGACCCTAAGCCCCTATACACCCTAAAACCTAAAGCCCTAATCCCTGAACCCTTAAACCCTAAACCCTATAATATCCACTGACAATGTACACCCTAAAACCTAAAGCCCTTAGCTCCTCAACCACAAAGTCCCTAAGAGCTCTAAATCCTGAACCCTACTTGGAGGCCCAGGGCACTTAGTACGTAAAACCCTAAACCCCTAAACCCTAAACCCTAAATCCTAAACCCTAAACCCTAAACCCTAAACCCTAAACCCTACAAGTAGAGTTATAAGTACCCTAAATGGAGTTGCCCCAATTATAACCCTATATACTTATAATCGACTTACTAAGTCCCCTGGGCCCTAAACCCTAAACCCTAAACCCTAAACCCTAAACCCTAAACTTAAATACTCTGAGCCGAAGCCAATCGCCGCAGGTCTTTCCCGGATCGGCCACGCCTCGTTCAACCCGAGGCGCAGGCGCGGCAGCTGCTGAAGAGGTCTTAATGCCCAAAGGCTCCATGTACCTTTATAGTAGATACTTAGGCCTTAAAGTGGTCCCTATATAGGTACTTTAAGGCCTAAGTATCTACTATATGGGTACATGGAGCCTTAGGGATGTAGGGGATGAACCCTAACCCCCCAGGTACCTACTATATAGGGCCCTAGGGGCTCTAGTACCCTATATAGTAGCTACCTGAAGGGTTAGGGTAAGGCTTTGGGGTTATAAACTATACCATATGACTTTAGGTTTCGTAATCATACGTTTCCGGTGCGTCCTGATGAGCTACAGGGGTTTAGGCTTCTGCCGGGTTTACGGGGTTTAGGAAAGGGGGCTTTAGGCTTCACGGTTTTGGGGGTGTTGATGGCTTCGCGTGAGCGTTCAGCCCAGAGTGAGTGACAGTGTCCGAATTCACTTGATATATATATATATATAGATATACGTGTATGTATATATATATATATATATGTATATGTATATATATATAGTATATATTCTCATGACATAGGATTTTTGCTTGAGATTGCCAGTTTTGTATTTTGCCAAGAGTACAGAAGTTGAACTCCTCCAGGAACCTGAGACGGATCCTTGGCACCAGAACCCCTAGTGTTGATGATGTAAATCCTGCATTAATTTAACGACCCTAATTATCTATGGGAATTATGGTACCTTCCTTCTTTTGAGTAGCGCAGGATTTATATCATCAACCGTAGTGACGGATCGCTAAGTTTACGGAACCTCCAACCCTTAGGCTCCATGTGCCCATATAGTA